CGACGCTGCTTCTGCTGGCCGGTGCTGACCCAGCCAGGCTCCTCCCAGCCCCAGCAGCACATGGGAAGCTGGCTTCAGCTGCATGCTACCCCAGATGGAACAGACCTGCCCAGGTCGGCACCAGCCAGCAGAGGCAGTGGCGGAGCCGTGTGCCGCGCGGGACTGAACAGCGCAGGTAGGGGGAAAGTGCAGGTGAGCCCCTGCTGCTCCGGCCGGGCTCATCCTGTCCTGCGTGGCACACGGCTACTCCTCTTCCCACACGCACCGTGTCAGCAACATCAAGCTGACGTGGTTCGTGTGGGAACCTTGCCCCTTCCCCAGCCCTTCAGCAGCCATTAGGAAGCTGCTAAGGGGCCGGGGGAGGGACAAGGGGTGGGAACGAAAGTAAACAGCGTTTACTTCCGTTTCCCGTTGCAGCACCACGGGCCACAGAAAACGGCTTGGTGGGCCGCATGTTGGACAAGCCTGCCCTAAACCCCACTGTAAACACATGAGTGTGGGAACAGAACAATATGAAGACCTCATAGTGAATATACCTAAAATTGAGACTTCAGCAACTCCCTTTTATACCCCTGTCAATTCATACATGCAGATACTTCTTCTGGAGTCCTCATCACCGTTACATTTTTTTACAAGGACAAATCTTGCTCTCTTTCTTCCTTGTTACTGAAATAAAAGGTTACACTCTGAAACACAATCCTAGGGCAAGGGGCAAAATTTACTGAATACACAGACCCTGCTCATTATATATTAAAAAGAGGAGGCAGACTGGCATGACATTTGCCAGTTATCATTCGAATGACTTGGCTTGTGTGTTTATTTAGAAGACTCAGATCAAGTGTAGGCTCTTGCAGGGAGGAATTTTGTCTTATGTTTGTACAGTAGTTAGAATAACGAGGCATTGCATCATATAACTATTCTTATACTTCCCTGTATGAACCAAATCACAGGGTCTTCAACACACCCTAGAAGCTCAGTAGACTTATGAGAACTGCTACTTTTTACCTGGTGTGCAAATTAGTGTAGGATTCTTACAGTACATGCTCAGGTGTGGAGACGCACACATTTGGGGCCCTTTCAAAAGAGGACTATTTCGAAATAGTAGCAGCAATTGCAATCTTATTCTAGCATGTGAACAGACTTAGATGATTTGAATGTAGCAACACTGCTCCAGTTTTAAACATGGATGAAGCAGATATGAAATTGGAGGAGGTTTCCTACATCTGAATTATTCTATCTTTGTTCACACATTGGAATTATAATGCAACTGCAGCTACCATTTTGAAATAGTCCCTTTTTGAAAAGGCTCCAAATGTATCCACACACTCAACAACCTGTATTTCTAATGATGCAATTACTTACCACCACAATTTCTGTCTCTGCAAAAAGTGAAAATAACCATGGAATTTTACAACCATTTTATGTAATAATATTTTTCAGAGAAAAAAATCCTCAGCTAAAGACAAAAATAATCTTTTTAAATTCCTATCATGTTTACCTGCATAACAGCAATGATTTCTGATACAAAGCATACCGTCAAAAACAGCTTTTGCAAGTAAAAGGCTTACTTTAAATGCAACAATTATTTCCTGCTTTGCACACATGTGGTAAGATTTTAAAAGATAAAAGATCCTGCTACTATTCCTAGAGGTAACTGATTGTTTACCTTTATAGTAACTAGATGCAAGAATACCTTCAACTCAAAACAAACTGTCTGAAAAAGGAATTTAAAATAATTACTGAAATAGAAACACATTTAAAACTAAAATGCTATGCTGCACATTTAAAACTAATCCTATAAATATTTACAATGTATTTACAATATTTCTCATTAAAAATATTTACAGTTGCTCAAAGGACAATTCAATTATTTCTTAAATAAATATATTTAAAAAAATATACCTTTATTGTTCCAAAAAGTTCATCTTTAATATGTCCACCTCCAAATTCTTTTTTCAGTGTTGCCCGTGTTGCTGCATACAACATTTTTGGACGAACCTGTTATGTGTCAAGAGAGTCTCTTGATTTTTATGGATATGGAAGCTAAGGTGCTCATATGCTAAGACTATACTGAAACCGGAAATAATTCTTTAAGAAGAAAAAAAAAAAATAAAAAAAAAAAAAATCACAGAGGTAATTCTGTTACAGGCAGAATAGAAGTTAGATTTTAAACTTAGTCCTAATAAAATAAACTCCACAGAATGAGTTTGAGTATACATAATTCAACAAGGAGAAATGCAAAGTGTTGCACCTAGGGAAGAAAAATGTCCAACACACCTACAGCCTAGGGAATGACAAGCTGGGTGGCATGGAAGTGGAAAGGGATCTTGGAGTCCTAGTGGACTCTAAGATGAACATGAGTCGGCAGTGTGACAAAGCCATCAGAAAAGCCAATGGCACTTTATCGTGCATCAGCAGATGCATGACGAATAGGTCCAAGGAGGTGATACTTCCCCTCTATCGGGCGCTGGTCAGACCACAGTTGGAGTACTGCGTGCAATTCTGGGCGCCGCACTTCACGAGGGATGCGGATAACCTGGAGAGGGTCCAGAGAAGGGCCACTCATATGGTTAAGGGCCTGCAGACCAAGCCCTACGAGGAGAGACTAGAGAAACTGGACCTTTTCAGCCTCCGCAAGAGAAGGTTGAGAGGCGACCTTGTGGCTGCCTATAAGTTCATCATGGGGGCACAGAAGGGAATTGGTGAGGTTGTATTCACCAATGCACCCCTCTTTCCTGCCTATGCAGGGGGTTGGACTTGATGATCTATTGAGGTCCCTTCCGACCCTAACATCTATGAATCTATAATAAGATATGCTATTCCAATCTCAAAGGGTTGAGGAGACAAATTATACAACATAATATCGGAGAAATTTTAAGATTAAATTGCAATTATTATGAACGTCATTTTCAAGGTTTGAGGGAAGCAAGAACTTGTTAGCAAGAACTACAAAAAATACAATAGCAGCTCAAAAAACTGTTGCAGATTCTTATGTTTCTGAACTCAATTTTGAAAGAAGCAAAAGGTAATCCTCTTCCCCTTACCCCCAGCCCAAAAAAAGATGGACCTGCTATAAGCACTCCATTACTGTTGTTTTGGTTCAACAAATGGTTCCGACAGACTACTAGAGGCACAGAAAAAAAAAGAAAGAAAATAACCTGAATTCAACTTGATTAATCGTATTTAAGAAAAACAAACTATGCAAATTACCTTGATTTTAATTACCGGACCCTATAAAAGACTTAAGTATAGCTACTTGCCTCACAAATTTGAACAGCTCTATAAATTGACCCTGTCAATACAATTTTCCTTTCTGACTAGGATGAAGCTTAAGTAGATTCAAGGCATAACTAATATTAATCTAAGTAATCTAATATTTGACAAACTTTTAAATGTAAAATATTTTTAGCATTAAGTAATTTGTAACTTTTCCCTTCTAAAAGTTTCTCAAGAATTAGATTTTCCTTTATCCTTTTCCTTCACAGTTCATTTGCGAGAGACTAACAATACCACCTATTCATCCAAATAATTTGTAGAGCAGTGACCTTTTTGTTATGCCATCTGCCTGAAAATGGCTAGACTCTGAAACCCACTGAGCCCACTCCTAGATTAGCACCAAACAAGGTCAAGGTGCTGCTCTATTTCCTTTCAGGGGTATGCAGACTGCCTCCAAACCTTCTCTCTTCCTGCTTATCTGAGATTTATATCAAATAGCCTATAACTATTGGCTATAGGTTAATGACCTTTGGACATTCTTTTTTAAACAAACAAAACTAGTGAGTATTACTTACATGAGAGTGATCTGGTGACCATGCAATGAAGATCCATTCATATCCTTGAGCATTCTGAGAATCTAATCTGTATAATATATAACATGGTTGCTTGTCTTCAAGAAGAGGAAGAACAAAGGAATCGTACTCCTTTTCCCATGATTCAGTAGACTGCCTAGCAGATCCCACAACAAGCTGCTCTATAAATAACCAAAACTGCAAGTCAATACAAGTAACTTCAAACATTAAGTCTTTACAGTATAAAGACATTCATGGCCTGATCATTCAAGATTATATGCGTGAGAATGGAAAAATCAATGACTATGTAGGACTAGGTAAAACATGCATAACTTTTTGCTGATGAATCCTACTGCAACCCAAATGCTAACATGTATGTATATGTCCTTCTATCATCTCATATTTAGGTCTCAACTGGACAACAAACTCCTTGGGACAGCAAGTTTCTTTTTTTGTTTTGTTTTTGGAAGTATGTTCTAACATCACATAAAGAATTTTATTAGTAGCACTATATAGAGAATGTATAGAGCATTCTTTTTTATATATATATCATTAAAAGTTACATAGTAAATTAAATCCAACTGAAATGTAATCGTCCATAGATGTCAGACTTCTCTGTTAATAAAGGAGCAAATTTTACCCTTAGTGACAGGTATCAAATTTATTTTTGGTATAATTATTTATTTTCTACTGACAACCAAAAGAACAGATCTTCTGAAGCTAAATGTGGCCCCAGTTCAAACCCAGGTTGTAATCTGTGGAAGTCCTTTCATTAACTTAAATAAAAATTGGCCCACATCCTTAAACATTAACCTTATAAATTATGATAAGAAATCCAAATTTTACTGGTAAGATGCAAAACCAGAAGAATGCCAGATGAGTTCAGCAACTCAAAAGATTCAGCTTTTCATTTCCCTCACTTCAAATGGGAGTTTGTACCATGCCCAAATTAGCATTAGGTGATGTCCTTCAGTATCCAATTTGTGCAAGTGAAACAGAGAATTATAATGAAAGAAAGAAAACTTTACATGAGAAGATCGATTCAAAAGATCCATGTACATACAAAATATCATTCCAGTTAAAAAAATGAAAGCTGTTTTGAATAGATAAGTGCCTTTAAAAAAAATCAGGATGCAATTATTTATTTTTTCTTATTTCCATTAGTGCAACAATAATCTGATACTTTTAACGGTCTGAGAGAAAGCATTTCACAAAAAATCATATAAAGAAAACCTATTAATTTGTACATGATACATGAAAAGCATCTATATTAACAATCTATTATTAAGTTAAATCTTGTTCTTGGAAACACTGACATGTCAGTGGGACAGTCTGGGTTTTTAGCTAAGCATATGCCTTTGTCATTTTATGTACCTTACAAAACTCAGCAACACAGCTATAAAATAGGGAGAAATAGAAAGACTATGCCTGCACTATTTGTGCCTTAATGAATTTGACCATTTAAAATGCTAAACCTTTTTTCTATTATAACTTTATAATCTTTGTTTCTGTATGACTATCTTTTTTTTTTATTATCCATAATTTGCTTGCTTCTCTCATGAAGTATTTTAGATAAGACTTTTAATTACTGACAGATGTGGCAATAGGCTTCCTTCCATCCCCCAGGTACAAATGATGTCTCAACTTCAAAAAGAAAGTAGTATCACAGTATTTCAAAATATTCACCAACTTCACAATAAATATCAAGTTTAAAAAAAACTAGCTACATAGTTTAAATAATAATACTGTTTTGGCAATGTATTTGAGCATCCTATCTTGAATGTAAATCATGTTACACTCCAGGATCTGACTTCTAATGCTCCAACGCTACTGGAGTAGGATTTAGCCAAATTTTCAAAGCTAGTTACTACTGCTACTTTTCAGAGATATTGAGCATTAGGGCTCCCATTGCCTTGAATAGGAATTGAGGGGGCTGAACATTTCTGAGCATCAAGCCCAAGATGTCTCAAGCTGAGTATCTATACTATCATTCAAAATGAGTAGCTACATTTGAAAAGTTTACTTGAAGCCTGCTTTCTACTTTATTAAAAAATTACACAGGATGGGATGGAACACAAAAATTATATAAAGAAGGGCAAATTGTTTTATCATTCTGATTCAACTGAAATTCAACAGGCATCTGGTACATCAGTGTTTGCAAACCTGGCCTGGAAAAACCATGCCATAATTCCCTGCCACCACTCCTACTTTTGCCTTCTCCAGAAAAGCTAGAGCAGTGGCTTCATGCAGGACAATAGTTGCAGCATCATTGCCAAAGAGGTAAATCTTAAAATTCACCTACAGGAACTGGCTCCACCATTAAAAAATCGGTTAAGTGGAAAGCAGTCAAAAGAAGCTACACAAATATTTCTGCCAATCCTTCCCCTT